CAGACTGCATTTGTCTTTTGCCGAAGCTCAGACTCTGGCACAGGATCGGTAACGTTGGAAGCACTGTCTGGCGCGTCTTCCTCCGCGACCCGAAAGGAGAAGCGACGATGGAAGATGAAGATAAATATCAACACCTTATCAGTGTGTTTTCGCCTTTTCCAACATCTTTTGTCATTACGATTACCTGGAAATAGTCCGTTAAATCAGCTCAACGTTCGCTGGCTATCGATCCTACTATTGGGTAGTTGCTGATCGCGATTACCGTAAGCGGTTGCATATTCCTATTAGGTTGCAAATCATTTGTATCGTTTTTTCAGTCTGATGATTATTCTCCTTCTTTATCAAGTTTGTTTTCTTCGCCTTCGCGAATTTATTTGTTTTTTCCACATATTCCGGTTGATTTTCCAAAGTGCTACATGTAAAACCTCCTTCTCGTGCGTAAATGCGTTGCGCGGTGAGGGATTCACACTCATATCTGTTCGGGCATCTTAGAACCAAAAAATCCGGAATGCTAGCAACTTTCTTCATATTTAGTTAGGGCGGAGTGGGACGATTCGGCTCCAGTCGGTAGCCGTTATCATCGTGCAACACGTTTGATTCTAAATGATTGGACTGTGGTCTTCTCGATCAGATTTAATATCTAACCCAACAAGTTATATATCTATGAGAATCTCTGCATAGGCACAATGTGAAACTTCTGTCAAACTGATGAATTTCTATGATTTTGCATTTTATCTTATGACTCCATTTTTTTTACCTGCGAGAACTGCGTACTATCCAGTATCCTGTAAAGTTAAAAAAATATTGGGATGCAGATGAAAGGATAATATCCATTGTGAATGGCTATCATAATGGTGATATGATTACTTACCTTCATCACAGAAATCCATTAGTTTAACAGAAGTTTTACATTGTCTTCCAAAGGTTAAGGAGGTGCCCGCAGCTCTCTTGATTTGTTTGAGTCCTGTTTAATCACGACCATTCTTGACGATCCAAGTCCATGCCAATGGGTTCAAAGTCAGATTGAAAATAAAGCTTTTGCCATGAGAGGTTACATCATCCCACTCTGCTCATCACTGTTCTTCTCGACTCAGTCATAGCGTTATGGATCGTTACCATCCTTGGTTGCTTCATTTCTGGCGCCGTGTCGGCGTCCGTTTGAAGCTGGAGATTTGTATATATGGTTTGGCAAACGCGAGACGCCTTCTCGCCATTACGGAGATGAGAGGGTTCGATATCACCCCGCCTGGTGCTTGGGTTGGCTTCAAGGCTGTTGTTACGATTCGCATAGCTGCATCAGTTGCGTTTCTACTTTCCTCGAGTAATAGCTGTGGTTCCAAACAGGAAAGTAGTACTCCGCGAAAGAGTACTTGAACGCTAGGGTCTTGATAGACTGCACTCCAAGAGGTGCCGACAAGTTTTTGAATCAGACTTACCCTCACAGAAATGTTTCTATGCAGCCTGAAGGAATATTATCACCAATGCTTTATGGCTTCGTTAGACCTCACTGCTCTTTTCAATAATGCGAGTGCAAACACGTTGGTTAATATTTTATCCGACATCTTGAAGATTGTCACGGTGGTCTTTGTCAGGTTTGGTTAACTTCCATTGATGAAGATCTGCGTCAGAATAGCAAGTTCAATTGTGAATATGCAGTGTAGCTTCTGCAGGCTCGTATGTTCAGTTTATAGCGCAAAATTGGCGTAAGTAGAATTCTTCGATGCTCTTGGTGGTAGGTTGTTGGGATGGATATT